GCCACGACACAATCACGAATAATGACATTCATTTTTGGACGCCGGCGCCATTTGCCACCACGATCGTTCTCAGCGAAATTAGTGAAACATTGCATTTGGTGATCATGAATGTGACATTCATTCTCGACACCGGCGCCAGATGGCGCCTGCGGGCGTCAATTTAAAGGACCCCATGGCGCCAAACCTGGCGTCTTGTGGCGCCATTGATGATATAAGTATCGTACTTGTAATTAGAAACCTCGATAATCTCGAAATACATTGATATCGGCTTCGGTGAAAATGTGATAGCACCAGAGTGGCGCTTTTAGCCATTAAATGGCGCCAGCTTTAGAAACCAATGTTATATTTGTAACCAAGATCCCTGTTTACCCTTCCCAGAGATCGTGGCGCCCAGTGGCGTCAAATGGAGCTGACGCTATAATAGCGAATCTATCTTAATCGCGATAGAGGTACCGTATTCCCTTAGTAGGTCAGTCTATGGTGACTGCTTCTGTGTGGGATGCGTTTCGAGGGCATGATGAGTGGGTTTATAATCGGACACATTTTGGAGACTGTTTTACAAATAAACTGTTGGAGCTTTTCATGGCCCAATCATAGGCACGAATTTTGTACACCTACAGCAACACAAAGGATTTGAACAGTCAAACGGAGAAATTTCAGCTTCTGGTCGTGACACATATGTGTTTCACGCGGTCCAGAATGTCTTAAGAAATCGTTTGATATTAAATATGAAGGTGAGCTGTTTATTCGAAACACCACCATTGCTGACATGCATATGCAGGAATTAACTGTTTTTCATGACAAACAAATTATTCATAAATAATGATATCTCAACTTTGTTATGAGTTGAGACAAAAGGGCGCAGTCCTGTGACACGGGGGGAGGGGGTGCACTTTCCTTGCTTCCCATAGTCGTGTCGAGCCATCAAGTAGGAATTTGTAAAATCTTGTGAAGCCTTGGAGTCGAAGTACCAGTACCAGTCGAAGTTTGTGAGAAATGACTCGTCAACAAAAGGTCCCCGAAGCGGACTCGTCGGAAAGCTTTGACATTAAAGTTGGAAACGATGCATCAAGTTATTTGGAAAGCACCGAAAGTGCAAAATGTGTCCCCCCCCCCCTCCCCGACGCGGACTC